TCTTCCTACCACAGCTGCAGTGTATACCACACACAGGTGTACACCTCCACAAATATGTACCACACACAGCTGTATACCTCCATGAATATGTACCACACACAGGTGTATACCTCCACGAATATGTACCACACATAGGTGTACACCTCCATGAAATAGCTTGTCACCTGAACGGTAATTTACACGGTGGATGCTGCTCCATCTTTTCCTTTCTTTCTTTCTTTTTTTTTTTTAAATTTTTTTATTTTTTGAGACAGGGTTTCTTTGCGTATCTCTGGCTATTCTGAAACTCAGACCAAGCTGGCCTTGAACTCAGAGATCAGCCTGCCTCTGCCTCCCAAGTGCTGGGATTAAAGGTATGTGCCATCACAGTCCAGCTAATTGCTCCATCTTTTCATGTGCTTATCTGCCATCCACATAGCCTGCTTGCTAAAGCACATGCTCAAGTCTTGGCCCACCTTTTCTTTTTCTTTTTGAGACTGGGTCTTGCTAGCTTGAAACTAGCTATAGCTCAGGTCAGCCTTCAGTCTGTGATCCTCCTGCCTCAGTCTTTTCAGGGCTGGGATTACAGGTGTGCACACCACACTTACTTTTTTTTTTTTTTGTCTTTTTTCTTCCTCTTGGGGTGTGTGTGTGGCTCATGTGCCACTGTGCACATGTGAAAGTTAGGGGACAACCTGGGGTGCCAGTCCTCCGCTCCCCACCTTGCCTGAGACAGGCTCTTATTTGCCACCACTGTGTACACAGGGTTTGCTGGTCCACGAGCTTCCATGGACTTTGCTGTCTTTATCTTTCATCTTGCCATAGGCACTCCATTTTTACAGGCCTGTGCTACTGCGCATGGCTGTGCAGGTTCTGGGGATTTGAATTCAGGTCCTCAAGCTCTCCCATGGCAAGCACTGTTAACCACAGAGCCATCCCCCACAGGTTCCTCTGTTTTTAGTTGAACTATTTGGCTTGTTTTTTTTTGTTGTTGTTGTTGGTTTTTCGAGACAGGGTTTCTCTGCAGTTTTGCGCCTTTCCTGGAACTCACTTTGTAGACCAGGCTGGCCTCCAACTCACAGAGATCCTCCTGCCTCTGCCTCCCGAGTGCTGGGATTAAAGGCGTACGCCACCAACGCCCGGCTTGGCTTGTTTTTTGAGAGTTCTTTATATAGTCCAATACAAGTTCATCGTCAGACTTCTGCAAATTTTCTCTAAATTAATAAATACTCTTTTAATTCTTTTTTTTTTTTTTTTTTTGGTTTTTCGAGACAGGGTTTCTCTGTGCAGCTTTGTGCCTTTCCTGGAGCTCGCTTTGTAGCCCAGGCTGGCCTCGAACTCACAGAGATCCGCCTGCCTCTGCCTCCCAAGTGCTGGGATTTTCCTGGAGCTCGCTTTGTAGACCAGGCTGGCCTCCAACTCACAGAGATCCGCCAGCCTCTGCCTCCCGAGTGCTGGGATTAAAGGCGTGCGCCACCACCGCCCGGCTCTTTTAATTCTTTTAACTATGCTTCATAGGATGAAAGTTTAAAGTATTATTATATTGCTATTATTATTTTTTTTCTTTTGGCTTTTTGAGACAGGGTTTCTCTGTGTAGTCCTGGCTGTCCTGGAACTCACTCTGTAGACCAGGCTTGGCCTTGAATTCACAGATCCTCCTGCCTCTGCCTCTCGAGTGCTGGGATTAAAGGCCTGTGACACCTTGCCCAGTAAGTTGAGAATTTTGATACAGTCTAATTCACCAAGTTTTTCTCTTACAGGTCGTGGTGGTTTGAATAGAAATAGTCCCTAGAAGCTCATATATTTGAATGTTTGGTCATTAGGGAATAGCGCTACTTGACAGGGATTAGGAGGAGTGGCCTTGTTGGAGGAAGTATATCATTGGAGGTGGGCTTTGGGGTTTCAAATGCTCAATCCAGGCCCAGTGTCTGTCTCGCTCTCCCTGCAGCCCACTGATCCAGATGTAGAACGCTCAGCTCCTTCTCCAGCACCATGTCTGCCTGCATGCCACCATGCTTCCTGCCATGATGATAATGGATTAAATGTTTTGTTTTTGTTTTTGTTTTTTTAAATAAGATTGCTGTGGTCATGGTGTCTCTTCACAGCACATGAAACATCAACTAAGATATAGTCATGCTTTTATGCTACCTCAAAAAGAAATCTTGGCCGGGCGGTGGTGGCGCATGCCTTTAATCCCAGCACTCAGGAGGCAGAGGCAGGCGGATCTCTGTGAGTTCGAGGCCAGCCTGGTCTACAGAGCGAAATCCAGGAAAAGCGCAAAGCTACAAAGAGAAACCCTGTCTCGAAAAACCAAAAAAAAAAAGAAATCTTGGGGCTGGAGAGATGGTTCAGTGGTTAAGAGCATGGGTTGCTCTTCCAGAGGTCCTGAGTTCAATTCCCAGCAACCACATGGTGGCTCACAACCATCTATAATGGGATCTGATGCCCTCTTCTGGCATTAAGTTGAATATGCAGATAGAGCACTCATATACATTAAAAAAAAAATCTCTTTGCCTACCCCAAAGTTATAGTTTTCTGTTTCCTTCCAAACACTTTTTAGTTTTTCACTGAAATTTATGATGCCTTTGAGCCAGCGTTCTGTCATATTGGAGGTGTGGGTTGAGAGTCACTGGTTTGCAGACGGAGGACCAATTGCTCCAACACTATTTACTGAAAAGACCATCTTTTCTGTGCAGTGGTGGTGCACACCTTTAATTCCAGCACTTCAGAGGCAGAGGCAGGTAAATCTCTGAGTTTGAGGCCAGGTAGGTCTACAGGACTGCCAGGGCTACATAGAGAAATTCTGTCTTAGACACCCCCCCTAAAAAAACAGGACTGCCTTTGCTCTATGGAGTAGCATCCCATTTCCCAAAAAGCAGCCACATATGTGTATATCTATTTTGGAATGCTATCATTTTTTAAATAAATTTTGTGTGTGTGTGTGTGTGTGTGTGTGTGTGTGTGTGTGTGTGTGTGTGTGTGCTGGAGCCTGCAGAGACTATATCTCGTGGAGCTGGAGTTAGAGGTCACTGTGAACTACCCAATATGGGTGCTGTGAACTGAACTCGAGTCCTCTCTAATAACAGTAAGTGCTCTTAAGTGCTCAGCCATCTCTCTAGCCCCTGAAATTCTATGCTGATCCACTGCTGAGCTGATATTTGAATGTGACAGTGACAATCCACTCTTTGTCTAGTTCCAAAGCCTGAGAGGACATTCTGATGCAGTGGTCAAAAGCCAGTAACTGACCAGAGCTTAGGCCAGACTGGTTGGTGTACCCAGCCTTTTCCTTAGACAGAGGGTGGGCAAAGAAAGGACAGTCAACCCAATTTGTCTGTACTTCTCAGTGAGACTCTGTGGTTGTTTCTGTCCAAGCATGCCCAGAACCTTCTAGAGATGTCCTGTCTACCAGGGAAGTGGTTACCTTTCTTCCATTTGTTTCATGCTGGACATCACTTGATTGGTTTTCCCTTCAAAGGATGCAATGGCTTCGTTCTTCTGCTGTAAAGTGTTCTCTGCATTCTATGAAAGCAAGGAGAGGTGTCCATAAGCTGCCCAGACCTCCTGCACACCTCTGCATTACAACCGGCCTCTCTGTTCATACGGACTTGGCAACACTCTCAAGAGTAAGTCATTAATTGCTGTTCTTCCCTAGAGCCCTGGAAGACAAACCGGGTCAAGGCTCGAGCTCTGGCAGAAGAGCAGAGTGGCAGGTACTGGGGACTGCTTGCCGCACTCAGTGTGGACCCTGCTCCCCAGGATCCTCTTGGCCCGGGCACACTTGCCAGTTCACGTGCCCCTTCGAGGGTTCTCAAGGGAGGCATTGTCAGCTTTGATTTCCTGTTGAGAGGGAGGCTCAGAGAGAAGAGCCAGTCAGAGGCAGGGCTGTTCCCACAGCCCTGTCTGTGAGACTCACTCTGTCCCAATTTTAATCAGAGCAGGTATCCAGGCCCAGCAAGCAGGAGGGAGCACTCTGTAGTCACAAGACATACACCGTATGATCAAGGCTACAGAGATACACCGTATGATCAAGGCTGCAGAGATACACCGTATGATCAAAGCTACAGAGATACACCGTATGATCAAGGCTACAGAGATACACCGTATGATGAAGGCTACAGAGAGGCTGTTGCAGAAGGAAGTCAGGATGAGTTCCTAAGGAACACAGACTGCACTCTCTGACTGAAGCTTACACTCAGGACAAACTGATGAAACAGAACAGCATGCTAAGTGCTGTTCAACTTAAAGAAAAAGTAACGGAAACCATGCAATGTTCAGACCTGGAAGACCACAGCATCATGATACTCACTGCAGTGAAATGAAGCCGAATCACAACTTACATATAAAGAAAAGCAGCTGAAACACGACATGCCCTAGCTCTAAGAGGCATCTGATTCCGAGACGCTACAATGGGGAGACATGCTTCTCTGGGGATGAAATACTTTTGCCAGGATTTGAGGGACACAAAACAGTTTGTTTTCTTTTTGGCTGGTGCTGAAGATTAGATAAGCATTTTGTCCCTGAGCTGTGTGTACCCTCAGGTTCCCTGTGTGTGTGTGTGTGTGTGTGTGTGTGTGTGTGTGTGTGTGTGTGTGCGTGCATGTACGTTTGACAAGTATTCTGTCCCTGAGCTGTCTGTACCCTCTGGTACCCTTTCTCTCTCTCTCTCTCTCTCTCTTTTTAAAGTTTTATTTATTTATCATGAATACGGTATTCTGGCTACATGTATACCTGCAGGCCAGAAGAGGCACCAGATCTCATTATAGATGGTTGTGAGCCACCATGTGGTTGCTGGGAATTGAACTCAGGCCCTCTGGAAGAGCAGCCAGTGCTCTTAACCTCTGAGCCATCTCTCTAGCCCCCCATTCTCTCTTTCTCTCCTCTCTTTCTCTCCCTCTCTCTCACTCTGTTTGAGACAAGGTCTTACGATGTGGCCTAAGCTGGCCTTACCAGTCTGTGACCCCTTGTCCCATTCTCAGGAATGCTGGGATTAAGTGATGGATCACAGGTATGCACCAGCTTACTTTCTTTTTTTTTTTTTTTTTTTGGCAATGGTGGGGATGGAACACCCAGGGCCTCCTGCACACCAGGCAAGTGCTCTATTCCTCAGCTCTCTTGTGCTAATTTCCTCTGCACAGTGAGATATATGTGTAGCTTGATCTGCTTGGGGGGTCCCCTGGCGGTAGGATCAGAATTCATCCCTGGTGCATGAGGACACCCTAGGATGAGACACCTCGTGCAGCCTTGAGGCACGGGGGAAGGGCTTGGACTTGCCTCTACTGGATGTGTCTCCCCATGGGAAGCCTTGCCTTCTTGTGGGGGGAAGTGGGTTAGGAGGGGGAGGCTGGGGGGGCAGGAGGAGGGAAGAGGGGGATCTTTGATTGGTGTGTAAAATGAATGAAAAATTTTTCTTAATAAAATAAAATAAAATTCTATGAAAGCAGGTGTGGTGGTGCATGCCTTTAACCCTAACAATTGGGAGGCAGAAAAGCAGCCAGCCTGGCCAAATTCCAGGGCAGTTAGGGCTACAAAGAGAGACCCTGTCTCAAAAACAAACAAATCCCAACAAAAATGACAACAATAAAACCCCTAAATTAAAAAAAAAATTCTATGAACGAAGAGAAAGTGAATGAGCTACAGAGGAAATGCAGAGAAGGCGGAGCATAATAAAAGCGAGGGTGACTGCTTTATTACTAACACTTCTGACACCAGTGTGTGGGTGGCTCCCATGTCTGAACCTTGATGCCCCCTGGGTATTCTGCAGTTCAGTTTAAGTCTTGCTAGCACCCTGCAGAGCTGGTGCAGATGCCACAGGTGAAATGCACGCCACAAGACTGCCCACTCTCCTCACCCCAGCAGAAGTCCCAAGGTTACCTCCAGCCTGTTTCTCTGTTGGCACTGTTTAATCAGTGGAGAGGTGGACATGTGGACAGACAAGAGGGTCGACACAGGAGTGCTGCTCTCTCTCCAAGCAAAGGCTGCACAGAAGGGTTTGACCCTGTCAGAGCTGATGTGACAAGCTGGGAGGCTGGTGGTCCTCGCCAGCTGTACAAAGCAGTCAGTAAACTAACTCAGTCACCCAAACTAGGGAGACAGTTAGTGCCCACTCTGCCACTCCCCAGGAGAGGTGGCTGGGGAGAATCGGAATGCTAGCAGCTGTCAGTGGTCCTTACTGCTTGAGCAAAGTTCTGGAAGATGAGAGTCTGGGCCAAAGCTGCTAGTTTGCAGAGATGCACAGCAAGAGTCCAGAGGAAGGGCCTGGAGGAGCCAACTGCTCTGGACCACTTAGCATGTGAGACTAAACACTAGGCTGGGCATGGTGGCACATACCTGTAATTCCAACACTTGGAAGGCAGAGGCAAGCCTGGTCTACATAGTGAGTTCCAGGACAGCCACGTATACATAGTGAGACCCTGTCTCAAAAAACAACAGAATAAAACAAAAGACTAAACACTGGGCCATAAAGGCCCTGTCAATCAGTTCATGCAGGCTGGAGGTATGGATCAGAGGCAGAGCACTTGCCTAGCATGCAGGTAGCCCCATTTAGTGAAAATCAGACCCAAGTCTCCTTCATGTAAGTCTAGGATTTTGGATGATCGGTCATTAATAAAACAGAGAGACAAGACACACACCCAGACTCAGACCCTGACACAGCCATGCAAAGCGGTGAGCAAGAGGCAGAAGTGAAGTCACTGAACCTGGGTCCCTGATAAACACATGGGAGAGAAATAAAGAGACCAGAGCCTGTGACAGAGGTGACAGACTGCCAACAGCCAAGAATCTGCTATGAAAAAGACTTATGACTATGGTTCCTACCGCAGATGCTAGGCTGCAAGCTGACGCCAGCAAGAGGCTGGCCACCAAAGCTGTTCATCTTCTAGAACGACTTACTCCCCACACTCCCTCAGAATGTGGCCAAGGATGGTGGTGGCCCTTGGGTGACATAAAAGTCCTTGTAGAAGGCAGAAACAAAGCCCACTGTTGGGGGCTGTGGTCTTGGCGGTTCCTACTCAGACAGTGTGTATTTCTTTTCCAAGTGGTACTCTTCATTTTTCTACCCCAGCATCACAGGCTGTGATGGGCCAATGTGAGACAGACAGTTGGCTTCTAGCTCATAGGTCATGTGGACTGTTGGAGAATTACTGCCCATCAGCCAGGGGCTGTGGCCTTTGAGGAGGACGCAAGGTCTGGATGGAACTTCCCAGCCGAAATCTTGAAGCTAACTACAGACAGACAATTATGTGCCCACCAACAAATATTCTCTTTTATATGGCTGCAGCCCAGAAAAGATGGAGTTCCCAGGGCCCTGCAGCTACGATGATCAGCCCTTCCCCATGGAGCTGACTGGAGGCAATGTGTACAACCTCCTTCTCACTTTGAGACAAGAAGTGTTTGGCTGGCTCTAGATGGTTCCTTTTCCTCTTCCCAAGCAGAGGGAGGACTAGTGCCCTGCAAAGCTGCAGTCCCTCTGCCTGGGTCTCCGAGTGACCACCAAGAGCAAGCCTGCCGCAAGGCTTACAGTGTTACAGATACACTTCCATGCTTCAAAGGCATTCTAGTAGATTATTAGAGCAGTTTCCCTAACACACACTATTATATCTCTATATGGGCCAAAACCTGAAAAAAAAAAAACGTAAAAACTTAAAACAGATGGTTTGACAAGAAGTCCTGGCACCCACACTGGGAAGCGCACACATGCCGTAGGAATCTGACGTGTCTGGCCTCCTCAGGTACTTGCACACACGTGTGTATACATTCACAAAGCCATAAATGTACACACATAAATAAAACTAAACATTTAAAATAAATCTACGCAGGAGGTATGGCAGTACACACCTTCAATCCCAGCATTCAGAAGGCAGAGACAGGCGGAGCTCTGAGTTTGAGGTTAGCCTGGTCTATGTAGTGAGTTCCAGGCCAACCAGAGCTGAGACCCCGTCTCAAGCAAAAAAACGCAAACGCTGCACTAACATGGGGCTGAGGGTCAGGCTTGCCGCATCCTCTGCAGGAGGGGACACAGCACCGGAGGGCAGCACTGGAGGGCAGCACTGGAGGGCGCTGGTGCAGACATGAGGGCAGCTCTCACCTGGACTTTGTGAAACATCTGTAAGTTGATTGCTTTGACTTCCTCCAGCTGCTGGCGGAGGGCGACGAGTGTGTCCTGCTTCTCATGGGTGTCCTTCTCCAGCAGCTTCATGGCGATTTCCATCTCCGTCTTCATTCCGATCTGTAACTCCAGCTCCTTTTCTAGTTCCTTCAAAGACACGGACGAGGAGAGCACTGAGGCAGCATCCTATTTAACTGACACGGGAGTCACTGCACAGGGCAGGCTTGCAGGACAGAGAAAGGTCTGATGGGATTACTTACAGCATGCTCTCCTCCCCGCTTCCTTCCTGACTTCTCCCCTCTGTCTCTCCCACCTTCCCTCTTCTCTCTCCCCTCTCTTCTTCCCTCCTCTTAGTAACCTAGGCTGGCCTTTAACTTATAATCCTCCTGCCTCAGCTCCCGAGTTACTGGGAGTACAGTACCACCACACTGGCTCTGTATCAAGTCAACAGAACACTGATTTGGCAACATGAGCCCAGGTTCTGAAGCCAGGTCGCCCCCAAAAGGAAAACAGAACCTCGTGTCCGCAGGAACGCCAGGCTTGTCTCCGAGGAGACCCGATGGAGTAAGACTGCAGGTTCTGAGTACTTCGGACTTTACCACGGCACAGGGGCCACCATTCTGAAATGGTTCTTTATGTCCTGGGTACCTCAAGGCACAGTGTCCCACATTCATTCCAGGAAGCCAGGACGAGAAAGCACACAGGAGAACTAGGTTTGGAGAGGAACCGTGGCTGCCAGTGCACAGACTGAAGTGAGTCACAGAGCCTGTGACTGAGGGGACAGACTGGTCTCATAACCACTTAGAAAAGACTCACACCATGACAACAAACACAAATGACGATGATACAGAACCGCAGTGTAAACATGAGCTAAAGCGGACAATTCCTGGCTTTCTGTGAGTGCCAGCAGGTGTAAGCATGTGTGTAGAGTGGAGGGCAGCCGACAGACTCTTTCTAAGGGCGCTGGGTCCCACTTACCAGTCGGACTCTCTTCTCCTCCTTCAGCTGCTTCCACACATCACTGTACATTTCGTCCAGGCCCTGCCGGGTCTGCTTGTACGTCTCCAGCTCAACTTTGGTGTCCTGTTTTGTTATCTGATCGCACAAGAAACCCAAGAATGACTCACTCTTGGAAAGTGAACTAGCCACAATACATTTCAAAATGTCACAACCCAAACAACAACAACAACAAAAGGATCATTTTCTATTCCCCCCCCCCCCCCCCCAGACGGGGTTTTCTTATGTATGTTTGGCTGTCCTGAAACTCACTCTGTAACCAGGATGGCCTTGAACTCACAAGATCCTCCTGCCTCTGCCTCCTGGGTGGGCACCATCACCTGGCTTAATTTTCTACCTTTTAAACATGATGAATCTTGAGCCAGGTGTGTGTGTGTGTGTGTGTGTGTACACACATGTACACACATGTACACACACAATATATATGAATATGAATGATGAGTCTTACAGATAAGACAACCTGAAGATGAACGATGACAGCAGGCCAATAGATCTGCGTATGGCTGTGTAACAGGATCTCGCTATGTACCTCGGGCAGGACTTGAACTTGTGATCCTCCTGCTTCTGCCTCCCGAGTGCTGGGATCACAGGTGTGTGGATAACCCACTAGATTTTTATAACAAGGTAGGCTGTGTAATGTTTCAGTTAATTTTCTTTCCTGGTGGGAAAGACTCTTATTTGATCCACCACACAGTGTTTGTTTGCCATCTTTACCTAGTGCCGGGGCCTGGGGTGACTCAGCCCTGATCTCTACCACTGGGCCACCAGGTGAGGCAGAACATCTGCAGAAGCATCTGCGGTGAAGGAAGAACAAGCACTAAGGGAGTTTGGGAGGAGGAGGGCGTGTCCAGTCATGGAAGCAGGGACCGATGACAGCCCACTCCGCACTGAGCCGAAGTTAAACCAACACCTGGAACCCGGAGTGCAAAGGCTGGGAGTTTCGGGAGTCTTAGTGATAGGTGGCCTGTGAGTGACACGGGTGGGGACGGCAGCAAGAGGTACTGATGTCAAACAAGACACCTTTGTACATTCTGGGACTGGGACAGAGTTAGCTCACAGCTGGCCTTGCTATCTGCAGGCTCAGCACCAGTGGCCTCGATGAGCGTGGAGTGGGAATAGTGAAGGAAACCCCCTGCACAGAACAGACTCAGACTCAGACTTTCTTCCCTCGACAAGCCAGGGCGGCCACTGTTCCCACAGGTCACTTGAAAGCATCCTGAAGGACCTGTGTGGGCTATCTGTGACTGTGACGCCATTTTATACAAGAGACTCAGTACTCAGGGGGATTCTGAAGCTTTTCCTCCATGATGCAGCTTGCGACTAACAATGGATGTGTGTGTGTGTGTGTGTGTGTGTGTGTGTGTGCATGTGAACACTTCCCAGCCATCAGGTCACCCTCTCACCTCCACACTCTTTTCGCTTCTTTCCCGAATTAATTCATTCTGTTCTCTCAGCTGCTGCTGCTCCTCTTGCAGGGAACAAATTCGGTCTGTTGCAGCTGAAAGCTGATTAAGAAAGATTTCTTACATGTTTTAACATCAAAATTAATCTTGCTGTCCAATTTAAGAGCTGACATTTACTTAGATCAAACAATGCATCTTACTGTTTGATATTTTACTTCCTTGCTTTGAATAGGAAATGCATGGTTCGAACTTAGAAAGACACCTATGAAGTAAACCCTCTGTCGCATACTCCCAGCTTTCTGTACCATCTCCAATTTCTTCCCTCACATTGCAAAATCAGTTATTTGATGCTTCACGCGAGTGATAATTTATGTATACACACACACACACACACACACACACACACACACATACACATACACACAAACACATGTGAGCATGCATGGAAAAAAAATTAGAGTTCAGATATACACTATTACAGAAGCACCAAACAGAAATCTGTTATTCAAACATTTAGTTTGTTATTCAAACAAATAGTATTGTTTTTTTTTCCCCTTTCCAAGACAAGATTTCTCTGTGTAGCTCTGGCTGTCTTGGAACTGGCTCTGTAGACCAGGCTGTCCTCGAACTTACAGAGATCTACCTGACTCTGCCTCCTGATTAAAGGTATGTGCTACCACTGCCTGGCGGTTAGGATAGCTTTTAATGACTTGAGAACATACTTATACCAATAGAGGGAAAGTTTATATGGTATGCTCTCATCTGTAATTAAAAAAGAAATCAGTAGGCCAAAAATTTGTAAAATAAAGGCTATTTATGCTAATGGCAGGCACAGGGATGGTGGACTGGTTTGTTTTGATTTATCATTTTTTCCAGGGGTGTTTTTGTTTTTTGAGACAGGGTCTCACTGTGTAGCTATTGGCTGTCCTGGAACTCACAGAGATCTGCCTGCCTCTGCCTCCGAGTACTGGGATTAATGCCGTGTGCTACCACATGCAGCCCCATTTGCTGGTGTGTGCGTGTGTGTTTGTGCACTAACGCTTGCCTGTACACACACATGTGAATACCAGAAGTTGACAGTGGGGTCCTCTCCATTGCTCCGCCTTTTTTTTTCTTTTTGTTGAGGTAGGGTCTCTCAGTGAACCTCGAGTGTACTGTTTTGGCTAGGCTTGCTGGCTCAGCAAGGCCCTGGATCTCTGCTTCCCAGCATGGTGGTTACAGACGCATGTGGTCCTGCCTGGCTTTGACTCAGTGCTGGAGACACCGAATCAGTTCCTCATGCTTGTGGAGCAAGCATTTTACTACTGAGCCATCTCCCTGATTCCCATTTTTAGTTTCTTGATAAGCAGAAATATGTTTTATTGTCAAGGGAAATTAAAGATTTTGGAGGAAAGACTCGAACTTCAATCATCAGAAACAGGCCCCAGAGGAACCCCTCCTCCTGAAATGTGTCATCTTGGCTTCAGGGAAGGAAAGCTGGATCTGTTCATGAAGGTGTCTAGCAAGCGGCTATCACAGGAGGCGAAGGGGGCGGGACAACGCAGAAGCCGGACCCCTCCCTATTCCAGCTCCCGGCTCCAGCTTGCGGAAGAGGAGGGAGACCGGAGGAGCAAGAAGGGAATCATCTGTCCACTTTTCCTCAGCGGAGGGATCTTGAGGCACTGAACTGTCCTCTAAAATCCTTCAGAGTCCTCCACAGACCCCGGGCTGACCTTTCTAAATGACAGCAGTGCCTAAGGAAGACCTCCAAGGCTCTGAAGGTGTTAGCTGTCAAAAGGGAGAAGCATGCATGGCCATCAGCTCCTTCCCATCCCCGGATCCTCCTGAGGGATTCTCTATAGGACATCTTTTTTGTTTGTTTTTTGAGACAGAGTTTCTCTGTGTAACCTTGGCTGTCCTGGAACTTGCTCTGTAGACCAGGCTGGCCTCGAACTTAGAGATTCACCTGCTTCTGCCTCCCAAATGCTGGGGTTAAAGGTGTGCGCCACCACCGCCCGGCTCTAAAGGACATTTTCCTCTCCTGTTACATGCTGAAGAAAACATCCAGCCACTGAGTTCCAAGACTACACTCAGCCCTCCGGTTGAAGCATGCCACCTGGCTGGACAGCAGCGCTTTCTTCTAAAGTCAACCAAGTCTCCAGCCCCTCCCCCAGTGCTGCTTCATGGGTATTTATACCACAGCAAACTGACTTAATCTCTACATCAAAATTATAAAATTGATCTATCACCCTACTTGGAGACATTAAGACAAGGCTTAAAGACCTACCGCCTGCCTCCACAGAAACTCGAAGGCCTGCCTCCCAAGCAAGGTATGTGTGAGTCCCCAGGGCTAACTGCAGTGGCTTCTCCCATGACACTCCCCTGGGAAAACTATCTTTGTATCTCCTTCAGCTCACACAATCCGGAGCCCCTGCCCCGGGAGCCCCTCAGGAGAGCAGTCAGCCCACAGTGAGCCTTAGCAGGTCCTTCACTCACAGACCCTCCTGGCCCCTGCACCCTGCCTCTGTGCTGTGGGGTGTCCCTTTTTAAGTCCCTTCTCAAAGCTCTCCTCCT